AAAAATAAATAAACGTTGAAAAAAAATTAAAAAAAAAAAAGAAACTGAAAATAATTTTTAAAAGTATACAGTAGAAAGCTGACCTGACCCTGGACCATGTGTGTGTGTGTGTGTATATATATATATATATATATATATATATGTATACATATATATATATATATGGCCTTTGATTATCATTCAGTATTTTCTTTTTGAAATCTGAGGGACCTGAGTGATAATTCATTTGGGAGACTCTGGCCTGAAATCCTGCATCCACCCAGAACTGAGGTGGGGGGCAGGCATTTTGAAGAAAAGTTCTACAAGAAACATGAAAGGTAGGAAAGTGTGAGCATGGGGTATGAGGCACTCACACTTCATCATTCCTTCTACAACGTTGACTGGGCAACTTTCCAGGTCCCTGACACAGTGCTCAGCCCCAGGGATATGTGCTGGAGAGCGATCTGTCCTTCCCTGAGCTCAGAGTCTATTGGTGCCAGGAGACTTACAATTAAATGAGCAATTACAATAGTATGTGGTAAGTTTCCTGGTACAGCAGAGCTTCTCATCATGTCTGCAAATACCATGACATAGGGGATAATTAAATCTAAACCTCTGGGGATAAAACTCAGGCTTTGTAGGGTATAGAAGCTCCACAGGTAATTCAAATATGCAATCAAAATGGAGTAAGTGGGTTAAGTGCAGGATGCTAGGTAAGCACGTTTCTCAATGCTTGGCATCAGAATCACCTGTTGGCTTCTTAAGCACAGCCCTACTGGGCTCTGTCCTCAGAATTTCTGGTCCATAGGTCTGGGGTGCAGAGAGGCCAAGAATTTGCATTTCTAACAACTGCCCAGGTGCTGTTAATGCTATCAGTCCCAGGAACCATTTTGAGAACCACTATGGTAGTAACAATTGTTCTAGCTCAGGTTGCTGAACCAGGTGTCCCAGAGGAAGTGATATTTAAGGCAACCTGCAAAGGCTGAGTGGGAGTTGAGTGGTGTGAGGACACAGAACAGTGTTTGAATGTGTGGTGGACAGAAGCTGGAGGAAGGTTTCATGTAGAGGGAAAAGCTGAGCAAAGGTCTAGAGCCCCATTTGTGGGGCTGAACGAATGTTCAGAAAAATTGGCTACAACCAGGTCATGGTGGGGGCAGAGAAGGGGGCAATTTAGTTACATTAAAGAGTTTGGGATACATTTTAAGAGTAATGGCTAAGTAGGGATAGAATGTGATCAGATGTGTGTTTTGTAAATTTGCAATGAATACCTTATTGGGCATGGGTTAAAGGTGGGCAGAACTGGAGAAGGTCTAGTAAAGATGCTGTTGCAGTGTTCAAGTAAAAGGATAGTTTGCACAAGGATGAGGGCAGTCAGGAAAGAGAGACAGGGACAGATTCCAGAGACCAATGAGGCAGAATAATAGGATTTGGTGATTGACTGAAGGCAGAAGTTGGGGAGAGGGAGAGGAGAAATGACAGTCCAAATGGATTTGGCAACAGGTGTTTGTAGTAATGCCTTTCCCACAGGTGTTAGGGTGGACAGTGGTAGTAGATTAAAAGTTTGGACACATTGAGTTTGGGGTGCTTGGAAGACCTTTAAATGGAGATGTTCAGGAGGTCGATGCCTGATCTGGAGTGCAGTACGAGCTGGAGATAAATTTGGAGTTTGGTTCTCAGCATAGCAATGACAACTGAAGACATAAGGGTATCCAGGAGCACTGGAGAATGAGCAGGCAGAGATAAATGGAAGGAAGCTTGGGGACAAGGGTTTCTTGGGTTCTGGAGACTTTGGTTGGCTGAAGTTGAGATAGTCCTGTTCATTGTAGGAGAAATGATCACTGTTCACTCACTTGTCTCAGAAGTGGGATTGAGTAAATGAATGTAAGGGAGAGGTTCTAGACTGTCTGTATATGGGTGACACAAGATTGCTTCTTCTCATTTTGTCCAGGACAGGTGCTCATAATCTTCCTTCCCTCTCATGTGGCCAGAGGAGAACAGGAGGAGCCCTGCTGGTATCATGGTGACCGCTGGGAGAAGGCAGGGCTACACTGGGGCCGATCTATGATTCTCAAACACTGAACTCTAAATCAGACATCTACAACTACTGATCCCTAGCTGTCAGGGCTGCCCTTGATCGCTAGGAAAACACTTGAGTCTGAAGATCTTATACCGGGGTGTGCTAAGGTGAGGGTGGTGGTGGGGTGCCTCGCTGTTGTTCTATACATACATGACTGCTGTGTATGGCACACTTTCTGTTACTTAGCTTGGGCCCGTCCCTGCAAGTATAGGGGGCGTGGGTTAAAAAAAAAAAAAAAAAAAAAAAGTCCTATCCTCAGGAAACTTATTCCAGGGATGTAACAGGCATTTTTTAAAAAATCCAGTATCTCAGGAGTAATGCATAATGTAGTTGTAAACAGTCTAGTCTGGTATACTCTGTAAATATCACTGTCATATGGAACTGAAACACAAACACAACCTGCCCCGAGCCGTTTTCCTAGCCACCACATCGCCGCGCAGCAGGCGGGTCCTCACAGTCCCTTCCTCCCCAGACGCTTCTCCAGCGCCCAGAGCTCGCGCTGGTGCTCTCTGCTGCCACCGAGCGGGCAAGCGTGAGAATGGCACATTGCTCCTGCTCTTAGGAACCCAAAGAAAGGCAGAAATAACAGAACTTTTGCTTTTAATATTCTTTTCCTTCTTCTTTCTTTCCCTCACTTGCTCTCTCTAACTTCCTGTCACCTTTTTATTTCTTTCAGTTTCTTTCTTTGAGGGAAGCAATAGGCATTTTTGAGAATACTACAAACTTACAGTGTTATCATCTGAACAATTTCTCTTTTTAAATTCACCAGTGGCTTAATATTGTGTGTTTGTTTGTTTTTTTCAAGGGTTGATGGTGGGGGTGGTTCTGGGAATATTTCTCATTGTTTTACCAGCTATGATTTATGCCATATGCGGAAACTGGTAGAGCCTGATGAGAAATGGAGCTGAGTACATTCAGAAGTGAAAATAAACAGTCTATTTTTTATTCTGCTTTAAATGACCTATCTTTTTCAGATCCTAGAATCTGCCTTAATGATTTTTTAAACAGCTTTCTCTGTAGGCTTGACACCACCCTTCACAATTAAACTCAGTATGGCTAAAATTTCAAACCATAGTGCTAATCTACTCCTATCAAATTACATGGTACTAATTAATAAGGTATAACACATTTCTCTAGTAGAGTATCGTCTTATTCATGGTTTAAAAGAAGCAATGACTGGGGCGCCTGGGTGGCGCAGTCGGTTAAGCGTCCGACTTCAGCCAGGTCACGATCTCGCGGTCCGTGAGTTCGAGCCCCGCGTCAGGCTCTGGGCTGATGGCTCAGAGCCTGGAGCTTGTTTCCGATTCTGTGTCTCCCTCTCTCTCTGCCCCTCCCCCGTTCATGCTCTGTCTCTCTCTGTCCCAAAAATAAATAAACGTTGAAAAAAAAAAAAAAGAAGCAATGACTATAGTGAATTAAACTAAATGAAAAAACTTCCACTTTCACAACTGTTTGCTTTTTCACATCAGGCAGAACATGATTTAAAAAAAATTTTTTTTAATGTTTATTCATTTTTGAGAGAGAGAGTGCAAGCAGGGGTGGGGCAGAGAGAGAGGGAGACACAGAATCTGAAGCAGGCTCCAGGATCTGAGCTGTCAGCACAGAGTCTGATGTGGGGCTTGAACTCACAAGCCATGAATGAGTTCATGACCTGAGCTGAAGTCAGACACTTAACAACTGAGCCACCCAGGCTCCCTAGGCAGAACATGATTCTTAATCAGTTCCTGAAAAGCCTGAAGTGATGCATGACCTCTATATATTTCTCTCTACCAATGTTTATGTGGACTTGATAAATTTCATACCTCAGCGTGGGACCCTAGGCATTCAATCAGAGTCTTTATAACATAACTGGAGATGATTCAATTGCCAGTACTGGTTTTTGCTAGCTTATCACACATGAAGACCTAACAGGGGAAATAGCTTCCCTACCCACCTCTGATGTCATCAGAGAAACCAATAGGAGGAAAAAAGAAAAGAGACATGCTCTTACCATTATCATTGCCTTGCTTGATTTCTTCCGCTGTCCGATCTATTAATACATACAAAGACCAAACCACACAGGTGATCGCGATTACGTGGAATGTGACAGAGCAGAATATTTTCCTCCTTTCGCTGGTGGTCATCTGTAGTTTCTCCCACTGTAATTGTAAATGAATCACTTACAATACTGAATTTCTGACTAGGAAACTTGGCCCCCCATTTATATGCCAGACTTTGACCATGAATGGAGGAGAAACATAAGATATCTGCAATTTCAGATGACACGACAACATTCAAATACGTCTTTGTGTTGGGAAAGATATGAGATCATAACCCCTGGAGTTATATATAACTTAAATATATATTAAAATGAAAACAAATATTTTCCTAAACAAATTAAATCAAGTAATTTCTGTTTTGCTGGCCTGAAGTTTTCTTGTCTATAACACGGATGGGATAGTTTTACGGCTGTACAATTTTTGGAAAACATTTCCTTCAGGTTTCTGCATATCTCCCTCCTTTGTGGTACTAGATTATAAGTAGTAATAAGTAATCTCTTCTCAGATTAACACATAACCGGATATAGTGTTGCATTCTTGAATGTATGTACATTAACAGGTACTTGAACGGCTGAATGGCATCTGTGAAAGTCAACATCTGTTCACAGCCCTTTTCCGAGAGAACACATTTTACCATCTGGGCAATGGGAAAGAATCCGAGGAAGGCCCTTCAAGCACAATCTTGATTTTCTGCTACCACTACCGTCAAAATCACTGGCCCTTAGGCACACTCCTCAGGAAGTTGAGGGCTGATCCCTCTTGGGGGAGGAAGAGGACCACAACTTTTACTGTAGTAAGTTCAGGTTTGTATGAGGAAACATGTCCATTATTTACTTTGGAGAAACAGACTCAAAATTTTAATGCCTTGACGGTTACAGTATGACTTCATTTTTGTGTTAGGAATTGTGCCTTTATTTTTCGCTGCACCATTTCTAAAGGGAAATCAAATCGCTGTGATTTTTGTCACATCGATGTGCCAAACTTTGAAGAATCCGTGATTTCTTTTCCCCATTCTTATTATGCTCTTGCTAAAGCAAACTCCTTAGAACTTCAGAAGACCCCCATTCCTTTCCCACCCATCCCCACGTCCTCAGTGGAAAACAAGAGGGCATATGTTCATGCTCCGTAAGTTCTGACTCTGCCACCAGCTTGGAGACAGAGGTAAAGTTGCTTAACCTCTCTAAGCCAATCGCCTCATCTCTGTAAGATATAGATTGTGGCAGAGACTGTAACAGAGAGGTATGGGGAGAGGAACCTTCTTTTCTTCCTTTATTAACAGACTAATTCTGTGAGCGTTGGCATTGTGCCCAGCTAAAAGCTGCCTTCCAACCTTCCCTGACAGAGGTGGACAATGACTGGTTTCCATCAATGACATGAGATGACTATCTACTGGGATATTGAGTTCTTGTCTTCCCGGCACAGGAACTTCCCCTTCTTCCTTTCCTTCAGTTTTTCTTCTTTGCTACCTGGAATTCATAATTAATGGTAGGAGTCCCAACAGCTCCTTGCAAGCTCCAGGGAAAGTCTTGAGAATTGGACAGGCCTCAGCCTGATGAGCAACAGCTCCTCTCTGGATGCCCACTTTATATGCAGGGAAAATAAAGCCCTGTCTGATTAAGCCACTGTTTCTCAGAACTCTGCTACTTGCTGTCAAATGCAACACCTGATAGAAGAGTTAAAGTGATACTTCCTAACGTGCCTTCCATTCTGACAATTAAGATCCTATAATTTCATTTGTAAGAAAGCACAATACTTAACATCTGGTCATGATGCGCCAGAAAGCTTTGTAAACACTTTAGAGAAATAAATGTTATATTTCCAAACACCATCCATTCCTCTCCTACTGGCTAGTCATCACGCAGTTTTCCTTATAAAGGGTCTGTTAGAACCAATGAAAAATTCACACTTCATCTTGTACTTTCTTTTTTGATTAAACTGTATTTTATAGATTATATCAAACAAATAATGGAGAAATCTTGGTAATGCGGCTATGGGAGAACCAGATGCTTCAGTCTAGGCTCTACGTGTAATTAATCAACACTGAACTGAGAAGGTTTTCATATGTGTATCTTGGCTTTTATCTAAACTTCATACCATCTCTGTGAAAGACTGATGTTTAAAAATCTGTTTTGTCATTGATTTACTGTCACGTTAATCTGAATAACCTGTCTCATTGTAAAACAGAATATTATCATTTGGCAATAGCATTTCGTGATTTAAGGACCGTTGTGAATTATCTTTATATCCAGTATGACCAAATAAAAACTGCCGGATGGTGCAGAAAGGCAGCTTTACACGTTCACATTTCCTAAATGTTCCAAGCGGATGAAAACATGTTCAGTAACAAAATATCCCTACCAAATCAACCGTCACTTGTAAAACTGGCTTAAAAAAGAACCTTAAGAATTGTGTCTTCTTAAGTCTAAGGAGCATTTTGATGAGGTGGCTGAGAACACATTCTTCAAATTTAATGAGCCTCAAATAAAAAAAAATATGAATGGGGCTGACAAGGATGGGCCAACTCGTTTGTAAAGATTCCTTCTGGTTCCAGACAATAGAAGGTCTGAAGTTGTCACTTCCTAATCTCAGTAGCATTTTAAGGAGAAGCGAAGTGTAAAGGGACCATCAAACTTCCCTGCTTTCCTTTATAAATTCTTACAGGGACTATTCTGGAATTCATGAGACATCACAATGCAATACCACAGTGGTAAATTGGTAAATGCAATTGGTGAATGCAATACCACAGTGCCCTCTTTCTAATAATTACATTATTGCACACAATATTCAGCACTGAGCATTAACAGAAATCAGTGTATTTTGTAAGATGTTCACCCGTATTCTTGTGTTTTCAGGTTTATATATAAAGTTTGAATACATTTTGTAAGGCTTTACAATGAGGAATGGATTGAAAGGCAAGGATAGAAATCTTTTAACAAAGCTGTCATGAGGGGCACCTGGGTGGCTCAGTGGGTTGAGTGGCCAACTTTGGCCCAGGTCATGATCTCACGGTTTGTGAGTTCAAACTCCGCATGGGACTCCCTGCTGTCAGTGCAGAGCCCCCTTCGGATCCTCTGTCCACCCCCCGCCCCTCCCTGCACATGATCTGTCTCTCTCAAAAATAAACATTAAAAACAAAACAAAACCAAAGCTATCATGAAAGGGCTCTAACTTAATATTTGGGATGGTGAAATTGAATATCAGTTCACAAAATATTCTGTTACAGGAAAGCGATAATCTGTAGGAATGCACACAGCATTTTCACCCCACCCCCATCCACTTGTACAAAATAATGTGTGCCGATGCCCATCAGACCCCAGTCCGATGTTTACCACCGGGACCTCTCTGAAGGGGGATATCAGAGAGGAGAGCTGCCCGCCCCCCTCCGTCAGTGTGGCCCCTGCTCAGCAGCAGTGTGGTGTCAGCATCACCTGGGTGTTTGTTTGGGATGCAAATTCTCATGCACCACTTCTGAGACGTCTCTGCGTTGGCCTTGCCCAAAGGCACACAGAAAATACTAACGTCTGGCCCGTCATTGATGACACACAGCTCTCTGCCAGGGGAACAACCTCACCTTTGTCTTACTACCAGCAGGGACAGCAGGGTCACTGCCATTCCTCTCTAGATTATTCAGGCCTGAGTCACATATCCATCTACAAATCCCTCAGTTTTAAGACGACACATGTCTCTCCAAGGAGACTCAAGGAAGCTGGTGGAAATAAGTCAGCAGCTCCCTTTCCCTTCCTTGAGGGACAAGGGTCAGTGATACACTACAGCACACCGTCCAGCTGTCTATGACTCTTTGCACCGCCAACCCCCCTGTCCACCCCCGGTCAGTTGCTCAGTCCTCTTTTACACTTCCAAAATGAGGGATTAGCTAATGTTGGCAAAACCAGTGTGGCAAAATCTTAGCACCTCCTACGTGGGTGGTCTTGGACCTTGCTGTCTTTGGATCTCTAGGTCTTTGGTACCTGCTTTATTGCTCTTGGCCTTTGGTCCCTTATGGAAACCCCTCAACAATGGAAAGAATTGAGCAGAACTCTGTTATTCACTTAGAATTATACAACTAGATTTTTTTCTGAGGACTTCTGAATTGGAGTATAAATTGATGCATTTATACTCACATTGTTTCTGTGAAATGTTCCATTTGTGCTGGCTGAATCAAACTGTGAAGGTTTTCTAGTTTAAGTCACTTGTATTCTTATTCTGTCCTAACATATAAATTAAAAAGTACCATCCAATAAGAATGCTTTTGTAAATCTTTGTATCAGAGAAGAATAGAGGACGCTTATTTGCACACTATCAAAATACACGGGCTAAGGAATGCTTTACTAAGTCCATTTCTTTTTCTTCCTTGACATAGTTTCCACTACATTTTCTAATTTTCTTAACAGCCATTGAAACTGGATTATCAGCAAAGCTACAGAATGATGGAGCAAATAACTACCACCAGGTGGCGCCAGGCCCAAACTGTACTAGTACCGAGAACAGTGCCTTCCAGCCCACTGGTAGAGCCAGATCCAGGAGCTCCCAGCCAGCCAGCTGAGCAAGCTCTTCCTGGATATTTCAACAACCCCGCATAAATGCAAAACCACACTTAACTGTCACTCCCTGTCAGAGCACTTAAAGTTTTCCGAACCGACTTACATAGCAGAGTTTTACTTCATGTGAGTAAAAATAATATCCGGGGCGTCTAAAGTTTATTACATTATCTATATGCTTTAGTAAGATATATTGTGCCAGAGGATAGTAAGTAAGCGTTCTGAGGCTTATAATATTGGTGAAGTTTCTAGAGGGTCTACTGGTATGGGGCTGTGGTTCTTTCTTTCTTTTTTTTTTTAATTGAAGAATAGTTGACCCACAATGTTAGGTTAGTTCCAAGTGTGCGACATAGTGATTAACAAGTCCATATGGTACCCTACGCTCACCACAAGTGTAGCTACCATCTGTCACCATACAACACAATTATGACGCCACTGACTATATGCCCTATGCTGTACTTTTTATTCCTGTGACTTAGTCATTCCATAACTAAAAGCCTGTACATTCCACTCCCCTTCACCTATTTGCCCATCCCCTACCTTCTCCCTGGCGACCCTCTT